CGTTCTAGGGTAAATAGCTTTTACATGTATATATATATATATATATATATATATATATAGGCATATTGTTTTTCTAAATATAAAGGTTTCTAAGGCTTGAAAGATTATGGTTTGATTTTGTTATAAGAGCTTTTCAATGACCTGTAAATTATAATGATCATGTTAGGTATGAGTGTTGTAAAAAACATCACAGTACTTCATAATATTATCTAAGTCTAAAATATACAAATTTGGATGATATTGTAACTAAATATTCTTATTGGCTGTCTTAAAAAATATTAATCATGAAATAATTATGAGTGCACTAAAACTGTGTGGGATAAAATAGAACATTACTCTGTTAAATAAAAGGAAAGGGTATTGTTAGAAGAAAATAAAGGTGGGAGAGAACTACGAATATCTAAGTGGTATTCATAAATATTTAAAACATTGAAAAAGAAGTTTGGTACATCCGTCAAACTAGTGACTAAATTATAATTACACTAAAGACATGTATTAGCTTCTGCTGAAAGAAAAATATTATTTTCAAAAAGATATCACAAATATCTTGTATATTTATCAATAAAGTCATAAACACGGGTCTCAGAAAAAAAGGCTCCTATTTCTAAACCTTCTTTAATAGAAATCTAACCCCAGAAAACATTAGAAAAGTCCAGTTGGCAATTTAAATTGACTGTAAAATATGTGAATTTATCTTTACTAGGGATGAATAAGAAATGCAGTAACATAAAAATATAGAAAAAATATTATATTATTGTTGGTACGACTAACATTTAGAAATTTTCCTTCAATAAAAGTTACAATTTTCCTACACTGAAAATATATTTCCAACAGGTACTTACTTCCGTTCACGTGCATAGTTATTCTAAATCGGTGCTGCCATCTATTTGCATTTTTTTTTTTACACTTCAAGCCTTATATTCCTACTTACTCTCTTGGTTCACATGGTTTAATTGATTCATGGATGCAAATTATCATGCAAGAAAACCTCCACCAATAGCCGTGCCTCACAAAAACGTGACGCATGTGTCTCCATCTATGCTATTCTACCTAACTATTACTTCGACTTTGAGGAAGGAAGGATGGGAAGTGTGAGCGGAAGTAAGTACCTGTTGGAAATATATTTTCAGTGTAGGAAAATTATAACCTCCAACAAGATACCTTACTTCCACTCACATACATAGCTAGAATCCCACATTCAATAGGTGGAAGAACCAGTGCAAGGAAAAAAAGAGAAGCATCCTCTGAAAGCTTATGAAGGATATCCACCAAGAAGAGGATGATACGTGGAAGACAACACCACTTCTAAAACAGGTATACTCTTTGCCCAGACATGGAAAAGGTGAGAGTGAGTTGGGCAGACAAAAATGAGGAGCACATCTCATTATGGGTAAAAGAAGGGATGTGTCCCAAGGTGTAGTGGGGCTAGGGTGTGACGGACCATAAGCCGCAAGTCAACTGCATTCAAAACTCTATGACCAAGAATGGACTTTCATGCTGGGATAGAATGAGGATCATACCATCGGTAAGTCAACTTCAATCCTAAACTCAACCGCCGGGGACCAACATCCAAGTGGGGGGTAGAAAAGAGGATCATACCATCTTTATCTCAAGTTCAGCCAACTGGAGGGAGAATTATCACCACTGATCGGTGAACAGGGCACATGAGATCAGAATGAAATACAGATATAGTCCTCTCAAATCAAACATACAGGAACCACTCGAAAAGCAGTCCAATCCCCGACATAAAGACATTGAGGGAGTGCATGAGGAGTAAGTGGAGCAAGGATCAAATGCACCCATCATGACCCACAACATAGGGTAGTGAACCCATGACGAATTGAGTAAGTGAGCAGGGACACCCTGAACAGAGTTGTGAGGACTTATGTTGATCGGTTCAGGTCTAATTCCAAAACTCAACCACTGGAAACCAACATCCATGCAGTGGTAGGATAAGGGATCCAAATTTAATGGGTGAACTACCAGGATGCTGGCACACTACACATGTGATTACATCATGTCGATTGGGTCAGCTCTAAATCCAAAACTCAACCACCAGGAACTGACATCCATGTGGGGGTAGGATGAGGAATCCCAATCACATGACATTTGTGAATAATAGATGATGACTGGTTCAGCTCTAAATCTGAAACCCAACTGCAGGGAACTGACATCCATGTGGGAGTAGGATGATCCCAATCACACTGCATGTGTGAGGACATGATGTTGATTGGTTCAGCTCTAAATCCAAAACTCAATTGCTGGGAACCAACATCCAGGTGGGTGTAGAATAAGAGATCCCAATCATGTCTACACCAGCAAAACACCAATGCTCTACTCTCAAATGAATGGACGTGTTATTTTTATATTGTATATTTCACATTTAGGAGGAGACCTCTATGGTCCACCACCTTAGTGGTTTGGAGCTGGAAAGTATGGTAAGGACTCTCTTACTGCACTGGAGGAAAGAGGGGAAAAAGACTCGGTGGAGAGTCCCGAGGAATGTTCACACTGGAGACAGTACAATGGGTGATTACAAAACCATGTATTGAAAAGCAGACCAAACCTGATTTATTTAATCTAAGGAATGGCAGGGATGGGAAGCTATTCCCTTCTGCTTAACTCATGAAGTCCATGGGTGAGTAAGGTCTGGAATGGGCATATTTAAGAAGCAAATATCTCACGAGAAATAGCCTACAAGTATATTACAGTATATCTCTAGTATATTACAGAACAGTGTGCATTTAATGGCCATGGAAGAAAGAAAAATAAAATCAACATGGCCTTTCAGTGTGGATTTGAGTACCAAACTAAGTAAGTGAAGAATACTGGGCCAGACATCACTCACCACAGAGTGTGATCCTGATCAAAACATGGGATAGGCCCCCTGAAAAAGATAAATAAGGAAAAAAATAAAACTTACCAATTTATAGTCACACTGAGGTCTGAAGAATGGCAACAGGCAGAAGACGATAACCCAATGAAGAAGAACAGCAACATAATGCAGAAAGTGAGAGATGAAAGTATGTGGAGTGGTCTATGTATCTGCTTGAAGAATTCCCTCCAATGGACGATGCAGATGACACACGAGACAAAAAGTGAGGTGTTTAATCTGATGGAAAGACACCCGGAATAATTGATGGGAAGAAGCATACAAGGAAGAATAAACCAACTGATTTTAAAAGTCGAACCTAACTGGTAAGGGTGGAAGGAGATAGATCACGAACAGAAGATAGTTGCCAAGGGATGAATAGACCAGAACAGTTATGATGGAAGGAAATGCATGTAGTATCAGACTGGAAATAGAGGTGGGAAATGGAAGGAAGTAAACTCGGCAAGATGGAGGAATTATCTTCCCTATCTGCCGAAGTTTTGGGAAGGAAGGATTGATCCAGGTAAAGGAGAAGATAGGAGGAATGATACAGAATGTGTGAAACTACTATGGCAAACAAATTCGACTGGTGACATCCACAGACCAACAAGAGGAAAAAATACACTTTATGAATTAAATGACACATGGAACAAGAAGACAAAGGTTCAAACAAAGACAATGAAGATTTACATTGACATCCCAATTTGAAAGAGCTGCAAGCTGTGGAGGGCAACTAATACAGAAAAAACATAACAAGAAGGACAAGTTATGGGAAGCAAAAACTTTATGGTACCAGGAAAAATGAAAGGTATGGGATAAGGCCATCCGATAACCTACGATCGAGGATCAAATATACGAGTGACGAAATCTGTAATAATAGGAATAGTGGGGCAAGTAAAAGAGAACCCCCGGCCCAAAGACTAATGGTGTAAGATGTTCCACTTATGTTAAAAAAACCTCCATGGAAGAAGGTTAAACAGAATGTGCCAGTAATGAAGCTACTCGCCATGTGAAACTGGGTTTCTTCACCAAGGATTGGATAAAAACCAGGCATGAACATGAAGGGCAGGAATGGCAGAATGAACTATCCGGGATTGAGGCTGTCATAGAAGGGATTGAGTGTTTTGGGAAGAGGAAATGGCGGAGCAGATTGGATATGAAACAGCTGCAGAAAGTATGATTGAGCCAGCCAATATGGGTCAATCAGAAAGAGCTGACATGGAGTGGAGTAGAAGATAGAAATCACCGTGTTAAGGAGTCGGATAGGAGGATAAACATAAAGGATTTTTTCTGTCCAATCCTGACTGAACACATGGACAGCCAGAGCAAGTGGATGAGATAACAAAGACCCAAACTGAGGTAACTTGGTATTGTAGATAGTGGCAAATGCATCTAAGTGTGGGGTACCAGCCTGAGTACACAACTGCTGAAAATCCTGAGGA